CCTGGGGAGCCAGCCCTGCTGAGGACAGGATTTGGGCCAGCATCTGTCTTGGCTTTTTCCTCTTACTGTGGGTTCTCCAGAGTCCCACTGCCTAGATATACCAGCGGATTCTCCTTGGCCTCAGTTACCGCACCTGTTAAAGGAGGAATAAACTGAACTCCCTACATGGTTGGGTTGAGGCAAGAATGAAGGGTAACACGGTGGGGAACGCAGCACAGGGCTGGGCACTGAATAGTGGGTCACTGTCAGCTATGCTGCGGTTTGCATCTTCCTGTAGGAGAACTACCTGTGTCCACACAGAAGGATGTCCAAGACTTATCTCCCAGCACCGTGTCTCTAACTGGTTTCCCTGGGTGGAAACATGACATACGTGTGGCTGCATTTTCCTTGCTGGGGGAGCGTGCGCTCTGTGCCCCTCATGAACAGGAGAGAGCATAAGGCAGCCTCACAGGGATTCCTCTAGATTCTGCCCGGGTCTTTCCCCCTTACCATCTGGCTATGTATCCTTAGATCACTGGGATAAACCTGAGCTGTGAGTATAATTATATGCCGAGTTCAGTGAGTCCTTCTAGCCTACTGTGCCCAGAACATAAGAGTAACAGACCTGCTGTGCCCAGAATCTCTTTTAGAGAAGACATTCTCAGCGCAAGAAAAGACACGAAAGTGCTCTTTTTCTTAAAAGTTGCCAAAGCTTTCCCAGCACCTCCGGACACAAAGGAAAGCCAGTCACTGTCTGCTGACTCCCCTCAGCTGCTGCCTTAGCTGGCTTATTTACTGTGGTTCTGTCTCCAAAACCCACTGCTTCAGGTCCAAGTCAGCTCCTTCTCCAGGGTGGGGCTGGTCAATTTTCATGACTGAAGGGACCCTTCTTTGACGGATCCTGAGGTCGGTCCATAGAGACGTTACATGAACGAGAGAGGGTGCTGGAAACAGCGTCTAGCCAGGACGGCCTCTGAAGAAAGCAGCTGGTTTTTCACCATTACTGCAGGGAGGCCAATGGGAGGAGGAAGAGCCTGCTCTGCAGGAGGCGGTCCTCGGGGAAGTCCCACACTTCGAGAGATCTGGGCAGAGCCCTCCTCTGAGGGGTCTCCTCCGTGGAAAGGGAATGAAGAGGGATGTGCAGGAAGAGAATCAGGTGGCAGATAAGGCCCAGTGGGCTTGGGGCTGGGGCTATGGCGTCAATAACCCTGAGTACACAACCGAGAGGTAGAGGAGTCACACATTCGTCCCATAGCCCCTTGCACTCCTCCCCCACCGCTCAGGCTTTCTGCGGCCCCCTTCCACCACTCCTTGCTGCCCCCGTTTCCTGTCGTGGTCAACAGTCTCCTTCCCTACAAATGATCGCTTAGTTGTCTAAATATGACTGTGGACCCGTTCTGTCTATACCTGTGGTGTGGTGTGCCCAGAGTTCTATTTTTAAAGTTGAATTAGCCACTAACAATAAAAAGTTGGGAATCTTTTACATTAACACTTGAGATATCTTGAGCCAGCCCTGATGGCCTAGCAGTTAAAGTTCTGTGCACTCCACTTTGGAGGCCCGGGTTCGGTTCCCGGGCGCAGAACCACACCACCCGTCTGTCAGCAGCCATGCTGTGGCGGCGGCTCACACAGAACAACCAGAAGAACTTACAACTGTCCAGAGCTACGTACTGGGGCTTGCAGGGGGAAGGGGGAAGGAAAGAAAAAAAAAGGAGGAAGATTGGCAACAGATGTTAGCTTAGGGTGAATCTTCCCCTGCAAAAAACAAAAAAAAACCTTGTGATATCTTGCTCTTTCCCTCTAGAATTCATAATTTTTATTTATTTATTTATTTTCCCCCCAAAGCCCCAGTAGATAGTTGTATGTCATAGCTGCACATCCTTCTAGTTGCTGTATGTGGGACGCAGCCTC